GAGATGGATTTTTCCCTTCAACAAACTTACTTTTGAAAAATTGTCCAATAACATCAGCAGAGGCTTGTCGATGCTCACCTGAAATATGTCCTAACCCACAGGTGTGCTCATGGGTATATGTGCTAACAATAAATTTTTCGGACTTCGCCAACCTTCTACAATAAACCCGCCACTTGCACTTTCGGTCATGACATGAAACCATCACTACCAATGAATTAGACTTTTTGGTGATGAACTCAAAATTACCTCTTACGGCAACAAGTTTTAGCTTCCTCACCATTTCCTTCTTGTTCTCAAATAAATACCGTATGCGCAAGTCCGATCCATCAATAAAAACATGAGTTGATTCACTACTACCCGCAATTACCGCCTCTGAACTTGCATAAAGGACCATAGTGTTCTCTTCCTCACAAACTACACCTTCTGCATAATCTGTATTTATAGGAATCTCTACATCTATGGGAACATGTACAGGGTCCTCCTCGTCAACATTTTCATTTTGCCGCACATGACCAACCTCTTCTATAGTGTCCTCCTCACCATCCAAATCACCGCTTACTCTTGATTTTTCAACTAAGAAATCAATGCCCTCATAGTTAAAATTAAAATCAGCATTCTTTCCACCAACTTCCTCGTTATCCCTTTTCTTTGAACCAACTTCCAACGGTTTATCTACAAAAGAAACCCTTAAAATTAGCCTCGAACCATTATCGCCCACATCAATTATATATAACTTCACACCTTCATCCGACTTTAATATAGCAGGAGGTACCCTATAATGTTCAAGAACTCTGCTTAAAACATACTTCACAACTATATCACTACGTGAGCAACTCAAATCTCATCTTCTAATTATTTCATTAATCAACTCATCAAAACTAACCTATGTGCTCATAGTAATTAGTATAATTTTTTTACTCTTCCCAATCCACTTCCAGCAACTTTCTTTCTCCACCCACTCACCAAAATATTCAACACCTAAAACAACTTGTCTCATGTCTAATAATAGCCAAGTACCTATAATGTAAGAAAAAAAATTATTAACTGATGTATTAAGGGTTGACAGATTTTAAAAAACATCTGCAGAGTTGCTTGAGTGATCTGGTGTATCACTTAAGCGATCTGGTATATCACTTATTGGATCGCTTAAGTGATCTGGTATAAAGAAGCCTGATCGCTTAAGCGATCTTCTGCCATTTACTTGATCGCTTAAGCGATCTACTGCCATATACCAGACTTATAGCAGATTGCTTAAGCGATCGTTTGCCATTTACTTGATCGCTTAAGCGATCTACTGCCATACACCAGACTTATAGCAGATCGCTTAAGCGATCGTTTGCCATATACCTGATTGCATAAGCGATCTGCGATCTGCTACATTATACCAAACATACCAGATCGCTCAAGCGATACATCAGATCGCTCAAGCGATACATCAAATCGCTTAAGCGATCCATCATATCCAGAACACATTTTTAGTCATCTCCACCTATAATTGGTGCTATCACCCCTAGCTATCCACAATGCAAGAAAATATTCAATAAATTTCACTCCTTTCAACTTGCATTACTTCAAACACAACCCAATAACCTAAACAATTAAATCAAAATCATAACCCAAACCCAATCCATCATTAAATCTTGGTAAATCGAAATATAAAATGCAAAGAGGAGATACACATACCTGGACAAAATGTCAGGAGGAGGAGGAGGAGGAGGAGGCGGATCTATGGCGAAGAAGATGTTAATGGCAGAGGAAGAAGAAAATGTTAATGGTGGAGGAAGAAGAAAATGTAAAGGAAGGAGGAAGAAGAAGATGTAGATGAAGCAGAAGATCCAGAAGAAGAAGAAGATGTAGATGAAGCTTAAAAGAAACAACAACCATGGGACATATGCGTTAATGGCGGGAGGAAGAAGAAGAAGGTGTTTGGGTTTGTTTGCAAGAATTTTGGCTCTTTGGGGACATATTATAATTTTTAAAAGATTACACAATACTTCATTAATCCTAATTAACCACTAATCATGTTTAATTAACCTTAATCAATAATAAAGCTATTTACTTAACACTTTCAAATTACATGACCTTTTAATTAAATTTGAACTTGATTTGGTCTTTTAATAAAATGCCCCTAAGTTTAAGTCACCACATTTTGTGTTTTGCTTGGAGAAAAATCTTTTAACACCCAATAAATTTTAGGAATTACATATGGGTGATTAGTTTGTGGTTTTAATTAATTTCGCCTAAGTTTTCAACAAATTAGTCAAAAATCATCCTTACAAACATATTCCATTAATATGCTATTAGTTAACACTTAAGAAACTTTGAAAAGTCTATTTTATCCTTATTGTTTGAAATGCATAATTACATCCTACTATATCCACAAGTGATAAATTCAAAAATATATATATATATATATATATATATATATATATATATATATATAGGTAGGCCAAATAATTTATTATGGGGTGTCAAAACAATCTTCAATGAATAGAGAGGCCACATAATAGCATAAGTTACATTTATTGGGTCCAAAGTGTTAAATTTAAAACTTTAAGTGTCAAAGAAAGCATTATATTTGTAGGATTAATTAAATTTTTATAGAGGTGGGCAAAATCGAGTTGTTCCCAGACTACCCAGCTATAACTTCCCACCAACCAAATAATTTTCGTGGCCCTAATGGCAACTACCAAGCCTAAATCTACCAATACAAGCAAGCACAACAAAGATAAAGGCAATAAGAAGGGCAGAAAGAAGAATGGTGTACTTACTTTTGTAAGAGTCATCGGAAGAACGTCGCAGAAGAAGTTAAAACACCAAAAATTAGTGTTGAAGTTTTCAAAACAGTAAAGAGAGATAGAGTGTTTTGCAAGCTTTTGTAAAACAAAACCCTACTTTCAAGATGGAGCCTCAATTTATACTTTGGGCAGGATGCAATCTCAACTGTCCAATCTTCACCATGTGGTGTGAATCGAAGCATGGAGCCAAACGGTCTCTGAATGTGCAATCTCAACTGTCCAATATGCGCCACATGGCATGCATCGGAGAAAAAGTCAGTTGGATGCGACTAGCGGATATCACGTTTTGTGTATAAAAAGAATGTTAGCTTGATGAACATGGCATTAAATGCATTGATGTGACGTTTCTCGTCCCAGAAAGCAAAATACCAACTTTACCTCAACAAAGTTACGCAAAAGGCTTGTTTTGTTATTGCTTCAATGCTCGACGTGCCAGTACTTGTTTGTTGTCAGCGCTAAGAAAGGGCACGTCTCATTGGGTCACAGCTTGTCATTGACACAACATTGTAGCTTGTATGCGACTCATGACGATTAGTAGAACTGGTCGATAAGAGCTCAAGAACATTCAATCATGCCTCAAACTTAGAAGTTAACATGCTTAGCATTAGCATGTAGACTACACATCGTCAACTCGGTTGAAGAAGCTCGTAGTTTTTGAAGCCCGACTTCGATCTTCAAAAACTGGGGGACAAATGTTGTGCAGGAAATCCAGAGTGGATGATTCCTCTTTTGGCATGAAGATATTTCATGATACGGACTCCATAATCAAAGCCAGAGATCACGTTATTCCTTATCTTATCCAATTCGAGTTTATCTCTAACTCAACCTTGTAATGAGTACTATAGAAACCCCATTATAATTTGTTTTAAAGAGATTTGAGAGGGATAACTCGAAAAAGAGGAAATTAATCAAATAACTCTTTGTAGATCAGATTGTTGATATCATACACTCAGTAACATAACAGTGGACGTAGGCCTTGCATTACGAGCAGCTGAACTACTTTAAAAACTCTCTTCTTGTTCTTTATTTTCTAGATTAATCCTTGTATATTCATTAGTATATTATTTCATCTCTGATCCAACAAAATCACGTACACATCTTATATGATTCTAACGATGTCAATCACGTATCTCTTGTTGGTGTAAAACTCTACATCAACATTCTACTTTAAGACTTAAAAGGGCTTGAGTTTTTTGTATTTTTGTGTTAGCATGAATAATTATAGTTTTTCAAATCTTCTAGCTTTGTTTTGAAAATATTTCTTTATTTATCTAAGGAAGTTTGGCAGACTTAGAGATTCCAGTTCTCATCTTCGACCCAAATCAATCATAAGATGAGTATTTATTCCTTTCTTGCATATAACATGGTATCCTCAGTGCCAACTGGAGCCCAAAAATATATTCCATAAAACAATTAAAAAAATTCAATTAATAAGGATAACATTTAATTTATTTTCTATAATATTAATATTAGTTTAATTGATATATCAAAGTTAAATTTTTGTCTTAATTACATTTAAAATTGAACTGAATTAAAGTTTTTAATGTTTATCAAAAAGTTATTTAACTTAGTCTCTTACCATTCTAAACTTACTCTTCCCAAATACATGATTTCTTTTCAAACAAATCTTTTATCAATTTCTTAAATCCCATTAAATTACTGTTGCTATAAAATTATGAATATGTACTATCTAAAAGTCAAATTCTGATATTGTTTTCTATTTTTAATAAAAATAAAAACTAAATATGTCATTTATTCTATTATAATAGTATTCCATCTCTAAACTTAGTTTAACTTCATTTATAAGTTCATTATAAATTATCTCACTTGCTATTATCATCCCTTATTATTATATTATCAAGAGATAATAAACATTCCCATACTCTAGTAACATACTAAAATGGGAGAAACCACTAAATTGGAGGAATATTTTTTTATGGTAAAAACAAGTTAATTTTTCATCGTAATGGTTCTCATTCTGTACAAACCTTAATGGAAACAAGGATTGACCACAACTATAGTCATAGATCCACCAAGCATGAGTGGCGGGGACGGGTCCCCAAAATTTTGGGGAACATTACCATGCCCACCCATAGATCCACCAAACATTTCGCACCACTCATGTTCATCCACGTGTCGGCACAAGATTCCATACTTCAATAAAACGACATTGCGTTTAGGTGAGAAAACGTAAACAAATGCGAAATTATGTGGCTTCCACTAGTTGAGCTTGAGGTAAGACCGCCAACCGAAGTTCGGTGCGCGGTGTTCGTTGCAGCTCCCAAATAGAGAGAGAAATGACTCTCTTACGAAGAGTTTCTTCAAGCCTCCCTCCAGTTGTTCAATTTGCAAACAGACCCTTCCATTCATTGAAACTCACAGGAGAGTCCCCTGACTCCTCTACCTCTCCTCCTCTCACCCATGGCATACACGTATTCCACAGCCCTGTAAGTCTTTGATCTCTCACACTAACTTTCACATCGCCATTGTTCTTTTGGGTTGCAGCGAAACAGTAACAAATAAATTTTCTAGCTTTAGCATTGGTATTTTATTTTATTTCTTGAATAAGAAGATATTTTTTGCATTCGTTGTTGAATCACCAGATTAATGGACTACTACTGTGGTTGTTTTTCTAGTTGATAATTTGAGTTGTTTTTGAATTTAGGATGAAGTTGGGATTGTAGCAAAGCTATCAGAATGTATTGCTTCAAGAGGTGGAAACATACTTGGAGCTGATGTTTTCGTGCCCGAAAACAAGAATGTCTTCTATTCTAGGAGGTCCCTCTATTGGTTTCTTTCTTTAATTTACTCAAAGTTGTTGTTGATTTTTTTTTTTTTTTTTTTGGGTAAAAGAAAAACCTATTGGTTTGTGAGAGTAGACTTTTATTGAGTAAAATGCATGTTGTAGTTATATGTTCATTTGTTTGTTTAATGATAGTGGGTTCTTGGAAGAGATTGATTTTGTTTGGAATAGTTTTTCCTCAATTTCTTTTATTCTAGAAGACCGTGGGAATGTCAGTTATGTTTACTTGTTTGATTTTATTATTTAGGTTTCTAATTTGTATAGGATTGGAACATAGCAGTTCTAATCAGTAAAATATTTCTTCTTGTTATAGATGCCATGTGTCTGTAAAATTATGCAACAGATTATGTACTCCAGCTTTTATAGTCCAATGTTGTGGCTTTTTGCTTACTAAATTTTGTATGTATTACTACATTTGTGTCAGAACTAAATATTATTGAGATGCTCGTGAGTGAACCTGCAAGATTTGGTCAATTCATTATTATTTTCTTTGAAAATGATCAAAAAGGTGATGATGGGTTGGATTTGATATGCACTAGTCTGTCTAATGCAGACTGTATTTTTGGCAATAAGTTGATTATAGTATTTGATCTATCAGAATCACAAATGATACTGAATCTCCAATTGTGTGTAATGTGGCAGTGAGTTTATTTTCGATCCTGTTTTATGGCCACGGGAACAAATGGATGAGGACTTCTCCAAGCTGTCAAAAATGTTCAAAGCTATGAGATCTGTAGTTCGAGTGCCTGATAGAGATCCCAAGTATAAGATCGCAGTTCTTGCTTCAAAACAGGTATGTTTTGTTACTTTGGTGATAAATTCTCAAAGTTTGAAGATTAAAGTTATTATTTCTTATCCTGCAGGATCACTGCCTAGCTGATTTATTGCACGGATGGCAGGATCGTAGACTTCCAGTTGATATAACTTGTGTGATAAGGTGAATTTCAAGAAAAATTTCATTTTCTTTCAGCTGGTCATTTTCATTTCATCAGTGCTTGTAACCACCTTAATATTTATGACAGTAATCATGATAGAGGTCCAAACACCCATGTGATTCGCTTTCTTGAAAGGCATGGCATTCCTTATCATTATTTGCGTACAACCAAAGAGAATAAAAGAGAAGAAGAGATTTTGCAATTGGTTCAGAATACTGATTTTCTAGTACTAGCCAGGTACATGCAGGTAAATCCGAATAAGTTGTCTAAGTTGCTCACCAACTTTTATGCTTGTTTCATACTGAGCAAGAAATTTTGTTGGTTAGTGGTTTAAATGCAAGTTCAGAATGATATCGAAGGAATGAGTTTGTTTTTTTCCTCCCTTAATCCTGCACATCATTGTATCTAATTTGAAAATTTGGAAAAATGTTGTAGTCTGTTCTTGTTGGTATGTGCCTACTAATTTCAGAAAGTTATGAGGCCCATTTCCATCACCATCTACTCAAAAAATGCGTGTACCCTGCATTTTCCCCTGTGGAAATAGGATTGTCCAACTTCTGCATCTTATACAGATCTGTTTATGTAATTGAATCAACTACTGGAATATGAATATTTTTTCTGCAGTTATTGTCAGGTAATTTCTTAAGGAGTTATGGGAAGGATGTAATTAACATTCACCATGGCCTTTTACCATCATTTAAGGGTGGAAATCCATCTAAACAGGTTAGTTCTTTTCACTCTATAATATTTGAAGATGTCATTGTTATAACAATTTCAATTTTTCAGCCCTGACTTCCATATATGTTTAATTGCTAGATCATGTTGGCAGGCTTTTGATGCGGGTGTTAAATTGATTGGTGCAACAAGTCACTTTGTAACTGAAGAACTTGATGAAGGGCCTATTATTGAACAGATGGTGATTATTATACTCTTTTTACACTGTTTTAAGTATTGATTTTACTCAATGTTTGCCTTGTTAAACTTTGTACAGGTTCTTGTTGTCTGGGTTGCCATAGTTGGTTAAGCTTCACTTTGTGTATGGCTGTTTAAATTATGATACAATCTAAGATTGAACCTACATCTGACTAGACTTAAGGTGAGAGAAGAAGTTTGTCAAATTTGGGAAACAGCATGAAGAACAATTTATACAAGGCTGCCTTGTTAAATTTGGTACCGATTCTACAGTTCTGGGATTGCACAAAATGATCTTGGTTCAGCTGTTTGCTGCTGTTTAAATTACAATAAAATCTAAGATGAAACCTACTTAAGACTATACTTAAGATAAGAAGTTTGTCAAGTTCAGTTCAAAGCATGACAAAGCCACTGCCATTTGTTGCCTCCACACTGATTTTAGAAAAGTAATTACTCATGCTAGTATCTCTGAAGCAGGCTTCTGGGGCGCTGTTTCAGATACAGACCTAATGTTTAGCATTTTTCGGGGACAAACTATTATTATTATTGTTATTATTTTACTTTTAGGTGGCTGTTAATTCTCTTTTGATTTATAGCTTAATACTAATTTATCATATACTTTCTAACAAGCCCCTAAAAATGTCTGCAGGTTGAGAGAGTTTCCCACAGAGATAATATGCGAAGTTTTAAACAGAAATCAGAAGACCTTGAGAAACAGTGTCTTGCAAAGGCTATAAAATCATACTGTGAGCTTCGAGTGTTACCTTATGAGGTAAACAAGACTGTTGTATTTTAAGGGGAGAAGAGAAAAAGGAGAAAAAAAGATAGATAACAAAGTTGGAAAGGGCAGCTCTCTGTACTTACATTCAATTATTCATTCAAAGTATTCAATCCTGAGATCACTGCTACTCTATAGAATTTTTCTTATACATACAAACATTTGAAATTTAGTGGGTAAAGTTTATCTTCTCCTCTGCCAACATGCTGAGATGATCATTTGTCACTGTAATTTGAATCGTCATTTTGAAATTCATTGTGCAATTTTTTAATTGATGCTTGATGCGCCTTATCCTTGCATCTGATTTTTGTTCCTTGACGTAATGTTCATCTTTTATTAAATGAGGTTAGGTGGTGGACCTGGTGGCTTTGATCTATCTGTATACAGAGTTTATGTAGTCTGTTTGTTTGTCAACTTAGGTTGGCATTAGGTAATCTGTAAGCAGAGATCAAGCATTAGACACACCATCTCCCAATCACATGCGACGCCGAGCATGAGAGTTATATAATAACATTTTATTTATGTATAAATCATTGATTGTAAATGTGGATTTGGTTTATTGTTCAATTAACATTATGATATGGTGAACTTATTTTCTTTTTAAAAGTACAGACTGTAGCTTTAGTATTTTGGGAACTTCCAAAATGGGGAAATGAGAGAGAAAGAGAGAGAGAGAGAGAGAGAGAGAGAGAGAGAAGCGTCTTCTATTATGAGATTTGAACCATTATCCAATCTCATTTTATTGTGAGCATGATAATAGTGGAGGAATTATGGAACCATCATACGAAAATATTTTTCTCTAACAAAATTAACCTTCTTTTTGTCAGTTTTCTTCAATATGCACATAAGCACAACAAATTTCATTGCTCCTGTGCATATTATATCACTATAACAAAAGACTATATCCATATTTAAGGCGTTTTAGCATAATATAAACACTATGCCTGTCCTATTCTTGGACTTTATGCACAAGCATATGTTAAGCTATATGCTATTATTGATACTCAAAGATTCCAAAGAGAGTTCAGCTGCTTCAAGGCTGTTAACTTGACGGAGAAGATTTTGAATCCCATCAACCCATCTTTGTTTATGGATTTTGCTTTTGCATTTGAACTCTAAGAGACCCTGTCCCGTTTTGAGTCCGAAATACACTTCCTCAGTAATCTCTCTCTCTTTCTTATATGGCCAAGCACTACTTTCATCACACACTCCATAGACAATACCTAATCACAGTAAAGCACATTCATATGTTAGTTAATAAACCAATTCAGATATTTCAATCTCAAGAAAGCTGTTTGTACCAAAACTCTGTCTGGTGGCTTATAGTAAAGGCACAAATGAATGGAAAATTTATCTGCTTACATTTGTTCTTCTTGGAGAAGGCTCCTCCTACATGTTTGGTTTTGAGCGTAACTATGACCTGAAGATAGACCCACTTTCAGTGAATTATGCACTTTTCATTGAAGACATGTAACTTGTTTTTTCCTTAGATTACTTTTTTCTTTTTACCTGAGATTTCTTGTTGATGTAGACTGAGGCGAACTTCCACCGCAACACTCCTGCAAATAGCAATAACAAGAACTTTAGATCTGTTCTCTCAAATTTGCCAGGGATAGCATTCCTAAGCTGAAATTCGAAGTCCGGTTACCTTTTCTTGTGTGTTGCAAAAGTTCACCAGCACAGGGTGGACCCTGTTCCTCCGATTGACTGCGAAAAACATCTGGCCAATGAGTTTCTGCTATACCCCTCTCATAAGGGCTTATAGAGGCATTCTTCCTTGCTTCTTTTGGCAATCTTGCTTTCAGAGCTGCTTCTCCTCTCAAGGCTATTTTAGTGAAGGAAAAATAAGTTATGTTAGACGATGCTCAATGACTGGAAAAAAACATGCTGTGCAGTTTTAAATTTCATTTTGATGACTGATTTGGGTTGTTCAAAACGAACTGCTTATAACAGCAAAAAAATGAAAATTGATTCATGTTCGGTGGGAAACTGAAATAGCTTTGCGATTGAAACTTATTCAAAGGCAAGGCTAATGGACATCGCAACTACCTGTTGCTGCTGCAGCTGTAAGAGTCATCAGATCTCCTGGAGTTTGAATGTCCACTGCTGATCTCACAACAGAGGCTACGCGATCATGATCAGCTCCAGCTGATTCAGCTATTTCAATGCAGTGTGATGCCAAGAGCTCAGTAGCCGAGGCCAACGCCATGCTCATTTTCGAGCTTGAGCCTGAGTTATCGGAGGTTCCTGCTGCAGCCACAGAGGCCAAGGCTGCGGCTAGTCCAGCAATAGAGATAGCAGAGTGCATCCGTGCATTTTCAACACGGGCCTTGTCTTTCTTCTTCACCTTGCTACTAGAGAGCTCCTTGTGGTGGTGGAACCATTTCCCAATTGATCCTGTTCTCCGAGCATTTCCTGAGTTCGCTGTGTTGCTCGACTGCATAAGTGAAGAAAATAATTAGAAATGACTAATTGCTCGAATTCACCATTGAGAGTTGATAAATTCTGTCTTTGATTTTTATTCCTTATTTCAGTCATTTCTCAATTCTATTATTCATCCCATCCCAAAACAAAAGTTATTTTTGAACTAGCATATATGTCCAGATTAAACAATGACAAGATCGGGAAATAAAAAATGCACAGTTAAAATTTTTAACGTGTTACTATCTAGAAGCATGGAGACACCCAAAAAAAAAAAAAAAAAAAAAAAAAATCTCAGAAGAGTAACTTACAATCTGTGGTGCATGAAGTGTGTCTGGCATTGCAAGGAAACTCTTGTCAAGTAAAAACTGTTTTTGTTTCTGAGCAATAGCTTTTGATATTTCTGAAGCAGACAGACTCCAAGATCTGGATAAAAACTCCATTGGCTCTCTCGGTGTTTGTGGCTGACGGATAGAAGGCAAAGATGAAGCCACTTTCAGCTCTCCATCTTCCTCTAGACCAGAAAAAGAACCATTTTTACAATCTGAATAAAGCCCATTTTCCATTTTACTTTCTGTATCCCTTCGGTGGCAAGTAGTGACTGCTTAGCCTGCAATATTAATTGAAGGCAGATAGTAGTTGCTTAAATTGATGACTCAAGATGACCACCGGCCTTTTGAACTAATAAGCAACTCAGTGTGTAGCCAGCAGATTGAAAGTACCCGTTCTTAAAATTTGTTTCCTTAGTATTTCCTGAAGCAAAAGTTGGTTGATTGTTGAATAAGTATGCGTCAAATGAAGACGACCCAACTGGTGGTCCAAAAAAAAAAAAAAGATAATTAAAAGGGAGAAAACCCAAAAGAATTTTGAAAAGATTGCTTCACTCTGTCAAAAGCAAAGGACTTAAAAAGCCATTCTCTCTAAACACACAAAAAGGTAACACACTCAAGTGTCAAAGAGACTTGCTTGACCAAACCAAAACCTAAAAGCTCTCTACAATGAATACTGAATAGACCCATCATTTTCTCTAACAACAGCTTCTTATATATAGGCATTATAGACCCAGAAAGAACAGTGAGACAGAATAGATTACATAAACAATTTCAAAATCTAGTGCTTTGAACCCCCATGAATTCAGGTAATGTTTAATCAACAAAAAATCTTACGGTCTTACAGACAAAACAGAGTTCACAAAACTCGAAAAATAAGACAAGGAGTTTAAGGAACATTATCCTGGATAAACGGGGTCGGTTTCTTAACATTCATGCAATTAAGGAACATGTATTATAATAAAATATTTGATTAAATTAGTATATATACTAAGAGACGTATTGGGCTTTCTTTTTTTAATGGGTTTAGCGCCCTATCACTTTGGGTTGCTGGCAGTTTGAAAAGAGTGCGCGTGACCAGCCAATGGCTATGCATGAACCGTGTCTGGGCGGTAGGGACGGCTTTGAATTCTCTTTTTCCTCTTGCTGATGTCGTGGATGCATGCCAAATTTCATATATAAACGGTTCAGATTGCTTTATCTTTTTTCCATAGATACGCTTCGCTAATGGGAAGCCTTTGCATTAACAAAAGCTAAGAATTGTTAATTGATTCGAGTTAATGATGCCCATTGGACTTCCGAATCTACCTGATTTTTAAGCATATATATTTCATCTTTTACTTATTAATAGAAGATACTCAAAGGGATAAAAGTTTATGTGGTATTTCAATTCAATGATGGGCTGCTGTAATTAATTTTCCGATTATTTGCCTGCATCTACTGAGAATGTCTGGTTGAATTTCGACAAAATACAAGTCAAGGCCTGAAGCCATGTAAGATAACAATTATACTGCAGTACAAAGGGAAAAACTTTTGGCTACAGTAACTAACCTTTATAATATAATTTTGATGTATCAATATTATGTCAATAAACGAGCCAACCATAGATCTCGAAAACAAATTCAACTTTTAATATCTAGCTCTCTTATTGCTTTGAGATTAGAAAACAATCCAGTAACCAATATGCCAAAACCAAAAGCATATTCTAGATGGAGTTGTGGGGTCAACCGCGTACACTAAACAGGGTTAAACGTGATTTAGCTAGATTCAGGTCGGTTCGCTCCAACCAAACCTGGTCCCAAGATGTTTTTCTAGATAGTATTACTGCAGTACGTAGTTTTGACTCTATTTATTACTTGCATTTGACACTGCCATTATAAGACCACGATTATTTTACCTTTAAGCTAACGAACAAACTCCGATAAACTTTTGTGTTAAGCTCTACTTATTTTACTTGATATACTGGTAGTTGATTCAAGTCCCCAGTGCTAGCTATCAAGTTAGTGCAACGTCACCTTCCATGCTGATTATATTTGATCATAATAATACCATTTATCAAATAAGTCAAACTAGGCTGCAGTGTCTGTACACTCCGAAACTTCCCTCTTGCCAGTAATGTGATATGCGCGTTGGCCACCGACGAAATTGCCAGGCCACTAACAATACATTTTATTTTATAGAAAATTGTCACATTTATGTTTCTATTTCATAGTCACATCGCTTCCAAAATATCAAACCTCACTTCCCAGCTACCAAAGTTTCTGGGTTGCAAAATTTCAATTGGGAGGAGGGCATTCATAGAACATATCTTAAGAGTATCTTCTAATTATGGATCTTTATCTTTTTATAACTGCAAAAAGGTGAGAAGGGTCCCAAGTTCTCATGATATGAGTGAGACTTTCCCTCTTGATAACATGATTTGACCTCACCAGTCTGTAAAAAGTTTTTTATATGCCTTCAAAACAATGGCATGATGTATGGAGCGGTCATGGTCTCAAAAAATCGATCAGATCATAATTAAAAACCTACATTTAAATATTTTGAAATATTCTAAGTTTGTTTGCACGTATTCTTTTTATTATGAGTATGCACAATGTTGAATTGCAACCAATGGTTGATTGAGGATGGCTCTTTGGTAGGTCTACCTATCAATTTGGATTCTGTCACTTTTCTCTGCCTTTATTTATGCCAGTTATGAAATAATGAATTAGTTAGAACAGTAGCTTAAACAAATGGGCTAAAGAGACAAGGATACTGAGTATACATTTCTTCTTCTTCAACTTTTTATTTTGAATAATTTCTTTTAGTACAATGTACATATCGGACATTTCCAAAGCGAGGAGAGCCAGTGTACAATTAATCTGACATTGTCATAAGTATTGCATTGTATTATAACATCTAGTCATTCCTAATATGGACGTCCGGGAACTTTTAAACCAAAGGTGAGCATTTAGGTATTCACTTCACAAACCCTACAATCAACAATTGAGCTTTAAAGCATTCACTTTTGATCTGCACGTTAAAAATTTCAGAATATCCAGAGAATTTTCATATAACATCTAAATATAAATAGAAGTTAAAGAATGTAACTATAAAAGAAAAACCTTTTTGGCCCATAGTTTTCACCAAGTGATCTCCATGTTATAAAGTAAAGAAATGAGCCACTTTTACATGACGTGGGGAATCAAATATCAAAATCATATGGACGTCCGAAAACTTTTAAACCAAAGGTGAGCATCTAGGTATTCACTTCATAAACCCTACAATTAAAAGTGTGCACCAAGATCTTTACATTTGATCTGCATGTTAAAAATTTCAGAATATCCATATTAAAGAATTTTCATATAACATCTAAACATAAATAGAAATTAAAGAATATATATGTATATAAAGCTAAATACACATATGAGTTGATTGACACGTGACACATTTTTTAAGCTCTAGAGATTAGAATTGCTCTATTTTGACACATTAGATTGACAAGCCAATCAAATTGTTTTATCTTGACACGTTGGATTGATATTTATTCCTCTATCTATAATTATTAATTAATTAAAAAAATGGGATATGTATTAATAATTATTAATAATAATAATAATACAGGTGCATTGCATCAGTATTCTAAAGGTCTAACCATAATAACACCTTGGATTTGTGATTGTCATGTAGTTGAATTTTATTGGTGATAATGTAGACAATATTAATTGTTGCATTGGTATTCCAAAGTCTAAATAAATAGACATAAAGATTGAATTACATAAATGCATTGCATTGATTGTATTAATAATTAATAATAATACTAATTATATAGGTGCATTGCATTGACATTCTAGAGGTCTAAGTATAATGACACTTTGGATTTGTGATTCCCATGTGATTGAATTTTATTGGTGATGATGTAGACAATATTAATTGATGTATTGGTATTCCAAAGTCTAAATAAATGGACATAAAGATTGGATTAGATAGGTGCATTGCATTGGTAGTAAAAGCATACTTATTTATTAATAATTATATAGGTGCATTGTATTGACATTGCAAACATTTTTTCGTATTCAATTCATATTTAATGGTGTTGGCATTTGAATTGTCTAAATAAAGGGTTATAAAAGAGACGTATGTTCAGTTGTGTAGTATCGAATATGTTAGTTGGTGTTAATAATACACCTAGTCTTTTGTTAATTGTTTATAAGTCATGTTAGTTTGTGTCAATAATATGTTTGTTCTTCATGATTTTGTTAATCAATTATTTTTTATTTATTTATGTTTTTGTTGTTGTTTACAGGTCAAAGATTCATGAATTGGCATGGAATAAAGGAAGGATGTTCGATTGACATTGTCAGATGAGTTGTTATTTTGATTTGTTCTTCTGAACTGTAAGTATATCTTCTAATTATTTTAATACGAAATTGTAAGTATATCTCATAACTATTTTAACGGTTATTATTTAGTTGAATGATTGTTTTTGTTCAGTCAATCTATTTGAATGATTAACAATTTTAATATGAAGATTAATTAACTTTTGTTGATGTTGTCTTCAGTTAACGGTTGTTATACGAATGAATAATTGTTCCTTAACAATCTTAATATAAAGATCGATTAAATTTTGTTATGTTTGTTTTCAAGGAAATGTTCATGTACTTTACTAAGATCAAATCGAGGATGATCCTATTGTCAACCCAACTGTGAGTATGTGTCACATCTATATTAGCAGAAACAATTCATTTGTGTTGAATATGTTTTCTGTAAAAAACATCTGTGTATTTTAATTTGTTATATGAATGATTAACTGTTTATGTCCTGCTGATGTGCGAGTATATATGTTAAATTAATTAATTTTGGCTGATTCCATTTGCCAATTAATAGATGTTATTTGAAATATTTCTTATCAGTTCTAATATGATAATCCCTTAAATTTGGGTCAAGTAAACCATGCATTTTATCATCACACGTATTTCGATTTCCACTGAACAATCAGTAGTAAATTGACCATAACTTGCTCAATAAAAATCCAATTGATAGAAGGATTGAATCTTTAGAAACTAGATAGACAGTGCTTTAATTTGATATATTATACGCTTAATTTGGATAACTGTAGCCCACTGTCGAACCATTCATTTTATCATCACACACATTTTGGCTGTCATTGAACAGTTAGTAGTAAATTGATCATAACTTGCTCAATAAAAATCTAATTGATGAGAAGTTTGCATATTTAGAACCTAGACAAACAGAGATTTAAATTGATACACGCTTAATTTGGATAATTGTAGCCTCACTGCTGAACCATTTCTTTTATCATCACACACATTTTGGTTTCCACTAAACAATCAATAGTAAATTGATCATAACATGCTAAATAAAACTCCAATTGATGAGAGGTTTGAATATTTAGAAACTAGACAGACAGGGCTTTAATTTGGTATATTATATACTTAATTTGGACAACTATAGCCCCACTTCCGAACCATTCCTTTTATCATCACACACATTTCGGTTTCCTCTGTTTCTCGATTTCCACTGAACAATCAGTAATAAATTGGTCATAACTTACTCAATGAAAATCCAATTGATGAGCGGTTTAAATAATTAGAAACTAGAAGGATAGAGCTTTAATTTGATATATTATACAATGAATTTTAATAACTACAGACTTGCGGCCGAACCATTAATTTTATCATCACACATATAAAACCAATTCAATTTTAGTGATGGCAAAGGAAAACAAATATTGATATGTAGTTTTAATTGTATTTGTTCTATCTCTTTTTGTTTACTATATAGATAGATATATTATATATATTATATTAGATATATATATATATATATATATCTTATTATATATTATATATATTTTTGGTTACATACATATAAATAGGTTGTTGTTGGATAGAACAAATTTTATTTATATCACAAAT